AGAAACTCACTCTGAGACATTTAAACAGAGTTAAGATAAAAAACACCCCTTCAGTAAAACTGTATGAGTACAGCCTATTTTCTATGATCTGTGCTATACACCTCTAGGACAAAGTAGGTTTTACTTTAGGAATGCCTCATTAGTTTCTTGCATTTAAATGCTGAATTGCTCAATTTTACTCAACAGGAAAAAAAAGTAAGTGGTCTGAGAACAAGACTGCATGTCTAGAAAAGACAAAATCCTCTGTGCAATGATATAGTAGGTACAGTACTGCACTTTAGTCAGCAACCATACCTTCATTCCCCGACACAAAGGCATCAGCAATGTGAGAACAGTGCAAGTTTGAATAATGCATCCAAAATCAGTGAGAGCACTAAAGTGTGATCATGGACAGACATTTCTCATCGGTCTTGCTTGCAAACAGTCAGAATGGGAAATCACCTCTGCAACTCAGCAGCATAGATTTACTTTTGCAAATGAAATGGTAGGAGATTGGAAAGCTTTGAAAGTTCTGCAAGAGCCCAAACATCAGTGGGGTTCTTAACACGTCTGACAGAGAGGATCACCTTCAGCCTTGAACATACTAAGTATAGACAAGAGGTACATAAGCAGTCAAAGATAACACCACTTCATATCAAGAGCTGCCATCCAGACCTACAAAGGAATTTGAACAACTGCTAACGATTTCTAAAGTCTGCACTTGATTACTGCAGGACTTCAGATACCCCCTCCAAATATTTATGATCTTTCACTACAAATCAGCATTTAAAAACACCTAAAACTATGCTGTAAAAACTCCAAGTACCTTAGTAATAGAATTATTATTAGATTTGTTTCTGTTTTACGGATACATTCTTTGGCTCCAGCTACGTGTTTCAACACACTCTCCTTACATCAAGGGCTCTTCAGGGCTTTTTCTATATGTGCTGAAAGACACTTCTTTACCTGAGGCTACTCTGCTAACTTCTTGGAGCATAAAGTATCTCAGGATAATTTAACCACATGAGGCACACTCAGAAGATTTGGCAGATTGTCTCGGGCATTTGGAGTTAACCAATAATAACATCCCTGCTCCTAATCCTCCAGATTTCTTCTAAGTTCTGCTTCTATTTGTTCTTAGTGAAAAGCATGGCATTATCTTATTACAGCAATTTGATTTTCATTATCTAAGTAGGCTGCTGTGTCAGCAAAAAGCAGCAATTTGGAAAGGATGGAAAAGACTGCGAGTCATGGATGAATGAGTGATTGGTGGAGGAAAAAAACAAGATAGAAGAGGGTACGTTGAGTGATTGAGTGAGCTTGGGAAAATAAGGTGAGGTCTGTGGTAACTGGTTCAGAAATTTGGCTCTTTGTTTAAGTGATTAAGTAGGGGGAGCCTGCACATATGACCTGTGCTTAGATGGCAGAAGTTCAGCCAGTAGTATGCTGTACAACAGTTTGTATGGAAGAAGCTGGAGTGCTGAGATGACTGCAAGGTCCTGTCTAAATCATTTGACAAGAAAAGCTGCCTGGTAAGAAATTGCCTGCCACCAAAATCCATTTCCAAATCTGCTTTTGAGATGCAATTCCTTTACCACAAGAAGAGACCTGTAAGGTAGGGAAAATCAATCTGCAACTTATGAACCTTCATTTAGTTATGCTGCAGGCATCCCTTTGGAGATACAAGGTTTCAAGGGATTATATATGAATTAGTATAGTCATGGAGCAGAGCATGCCCTTGTTGGTATCTAATTAGCTCCAGTTTAACCAAGTTTCTGGGCTGAGTGTCTTTAACATTTAAAATCTCTTGTATATCTTTCTCTGTGCGTAATCCAATGATCACTGAAGGCAACGGGGCCATGTCTACTGCAGTAAATAAGATAAACCAAGGACTACTCCCTGCTACTGATGTCAAGTTCTGATAGTACAGAGTATGTCCATATTTCTCAGCTCTCTTCCACAAGAGCAGAGTGACCAGAACCAAATTGTCATTGGGAATGACAACCCATGGGTCACACGCCTGAATGCTGCTTGGGCAGTGTCAGGGAAAGCTGGGACCAGATTTTGAAGCATGCTAAAAATATGTAGGATAGTCTTGTGCCAGTAACCATCCCTGGTTTATTAATACAGGTATACTCTGAGAGTCTTTTGATTTGCATCAGTAGACTACAAGTAGGTGAAAATGAGCCATCTTCTGTGATGGATCTGTAATCCTTTGAGATTCCCAGAGCATATTGCTTTTGGGTAAGAGACCTTCATCTTAAAAGAGAAAAAGGAATTTAAAAGCTGCTTTGGGCATTTTGCCAACTGCACAGCAACATCTGGTTGGCATTCAGAGGCTTCAGGGGCAGCTAATCCTGCTCTGAGTAGGATTAACATCCCTGTTTAAAACATACTCCTGGTACGTCTGGTGGAGCCAGGACTTTGGCAGTCCGGAGCAGAGGGAAAGAGTGCAGGAAGGAGGGCCTGTGTGTGACTGTCACAAAATGTTTCCATCCCCGCTTTGTTCTCTGTGGCTTCAGTGCTTCACCTGATGAAACAAAGCACCAAAGCTTTAGCTTCAGCAGTGCTGCCAAATGCTCATTAGCTACTGTGGAGGTGACTGCCTGTTTCCTTGTTACTACATACTCTACAAGTGAGAGCACTTATCAGCAAGGGGTGGAGTTATTTACAGAAATACTGCTCTGCTTTCCGTAGCACAGGTAAGAAAGAATATATTCAGCACAGATGCGTGTAAATCCCAATTACGTTGCTTGTCAAACCATTTTCATGAAGGAAATAACAAGATTTATAGGGACCACAATTGTAGCAGAACTCATGGATGAGCTCCTACACAAAATTTTATCCTTTTCCACAGTTAGGGGTAAAGAAGTTGAATTTCCTTGACTACAAATACCTCTGCTGACAGTGACAGTGGCTGCCTGATTTCTTAAAGACCATTCTACTGATAAACTCAACTGTTGGAAAGTATGAGACAACACAGAAATTTGGTGCTGCCTTACAAAGTCTGGAAAACCTTACATTTTAAGTAGATTCTCTTTGAAACTGGAGGGCTGTGGACCTGTGAGAAGCATAACAGGCCATAACCCATGTTGTCCAGAGGGCTAGGGGAATTGTTCCCTGCAGCTCTAGAGCAAGGGTCAGTAGGAACACATGCAGAACTGCACACACATTTTATGGCTTGCCCCAGTCCTCTTTGTGAGAAACATACAATTAAGGGCTTATTAATTAACCATATATTCTGAAAGCCATATATTCTGAACATGGGAAGCACTGATATGTGTAAGCAGTTTCTTCTGCACTCTTCCCTTTAAGACTGTATAGAAGACAAATTACTGTTACACTTCTGCACGTCACTGTAAGAGTCTGCCACATAACTGCTGGTGAAAATTAGTTTGGCTCTGCTGAAGAGGCAGTTCAAATTATAGCTCAGCTGAGTGTTTGGCCTGTGTACTCAGATTTATAGATACCACCAAGCCTATCATATCCAGGTGAAGCATTTGCATACTTGCATGCAGTATTTACATATTAAAGTACAGTATTTACATGTTCTTTATTTTACATGTCGAGACTTTTGACAAATAAAGGAAACACTTCAAACTGTGTCTTTATTTTTGTTTCCTATGTCTCAGATTTTCCAGAAAAATAAGTTGCTACATCCCCCTCTTTCATCCCCAAAAAGGAGCAGGAAAACGAGTGGCTTTCCTGCAGCAGCTGTTGCACCTGCTGTTTACAGTGAAGCACAGCAATGCTTCTTTTCTGGTCCGCAACATTTCCTCTAGCAGTCAAAGCCAACACATCAAAGTGAAAGCTCCGAAGGAGAAAAACAATGTGACCTATTGTTCCAAGAAAACAAAATAAATCATTTGTAGGAAAGGAGTAAAACTCCTAACTGGATTTTCACAACATAAATATTGGGAAGAAGACCGTGCAAGGCAAGATGTAACGTGTGGTTGTGATGATGCTCGACACGCTACAATTTCTAGAGCTTCACTGTACTCTCACTTGATATGTTCTGACAATAGAAGCAAGGCATACAGTGCATGCCATGACTCTTTGGAGACACACATTGCAGCTCAAGATAAAAGCCAGTGTTGCATCCTCTCATTTGCTTCTATTTCTAGTTTTGAAATGTCCCAAATTCTGGAACTCTTCAGTCTGATGAAGTTTGGACCTATTCTTGTAATCTCAGTGTTTCTCCTTTTGTTCTTCTTCCTTGCTCTTGTTTGTTGTTCTTATGATGGAAATACCTTGAGGTTCCCACTGAGGGCCCCATTGTGCTAGACAATTATACTGCACAAAGAGGTTGTGATGTAAATAGAGAAACCAGTGTGTGGTAGAGGAAACACAGTAGAGGATCAGCTTTGCCTGTACTCTCCTGAAAGGTCAGAAACAGAGGTGGTTAAAATCCTGCTTTGTGTTGCCTGGCTTGTAAATTCCTTTTTATTAAAGGAGGAAGTCAAATATGCTACATCATTTTACCTGGATGAGAGGGATTAGATTTTTTTAAAAACCTAAAATACAAGTTGCTATGCTGTAAGGAGGAGGTGTGGAAACATATACTTGATTGCCAACCAGGATTTCTCAAGAAACTCAATGAAATCTGGAAGATTGCCTGCCTTCATGAAATCATATTATCCAGAGGCACTCGGGTTACCTCCCCTCTTAGCATAAACGTATTAGTTTTGACCTTGTGACCTAGATATGTGTAATAAAATCTTCAACTTGCTCTCACCAGTATTGCTGCAGCCAGGTACCTGTGGAATGGTGCACCCTATTTCCTGTGATCCCAGTTTGGGGTTCTGATTAGAAAACTGAAGGCACAGAAATCAAAGGCTAGTTCCTGTTTTCTGGATGCTGTTTTGGGAGCCCCTCCATCAGAGAAAAAGAAACAGAGCCGAAAAGTCTGTCTAAAAGTAGATCTCTGTCAATTTACTTGAAAGAGTCTGGCATAGCAGATGCAGAAGTGTGTATCCAGCTGAAATAAAAGCAAACACAGTTGTTTCATAAGAAATGGAAATCCAGAATTTGACTCAGTTTCTTCCTATTGTAATGAAAGTCCAGAGGAAATTAATGAAGTAAATGAAACAATTCCACTGCCTTGGTTTAATGACTTCCACACAAAACCCTCAAAGGGTTGGTACATTCTGCCTCCTGGGTTCACAGCACTGGGCCAGGTCCTTGGAATAATAGCAACAGGCTGAAAAGCTGTGTCTCATGCTCTGATGTTAATGCACTGAACCGAAACAGTTGCAAAATAAATACTGAAAATAAAGAACTTTGGACTGGTCAAGGGGTAAAAGCACAGTTTGTAGAGCTTAGTGTAGAGATAACTATACTGAACTTTGATGGCCATTGAGAGGTAGGGGATCAGAGGACTCAACTCATTGCATTCCCTCTACAGCCTTTGCATGGATAAACCATGAGCAAGGTAAAAAAAAGTAAATTTTCAATGTTAAGTATATACAATCCTATAGTGCACTAGCTTGATAAAAAACTCCATTAAAGAGGCTCCTATTTCTGTTCTATTTCCTCTGCTGTATCTGTCACTGACCTTGTCACTTAGGAACATCTTTCTTACCCTGTCTTACTCTCAACAAAGCTACAAATTTACTTTCCCCCATTAATGTGAAATATCATTACCAAGTGTCCGAGAACTACTTATACAGCTAGATCTTGCCATAAAAAAAAAAAAAATCTTCATTAAAAATATAGATCTAGAACTACTTATACAGCTATATCTTGCCATTAAAAAATCTTCATTAAAAATATAGAATTTCCTTTATAATGCAACAGGTATTTGGTAATTAGAGAAAAATCTGATGCAACTGATGTCATGAAACTATAACTAAATGCTATCTGACCCTCATGTGTTATATTTTACCATCTGAGAACTGCAAAAGGCTTTGGGGGTCCACACAGTGCTTTTGCTGTATGTGCACAGGGTTAGTACAGACAGGGGTGGCTGCTGGCTGGGGCTAAGGGTGTAAAGAAGCACACCTATTAAAGCTGAAATACAGAAATAGTTTCTTAGGCACACAGTCACAGACAGATGTACAACTCCCTTTGGTTTTCACTGAGGCTTAGGTACTGCTCTACACTTTCTTCTAGTTTCCCCCTCCCTTCCATCCAAACTAAGATGTAAAGATTATTGACCTTGTACTGCTTTCATAGACCAGACAAAACCAACAGGAATAGCTTATTTCAGCACCTGAAAAAAAAAATCTTTAGCAGTGAATGCCTTAAAAAAACCCTGAAGACAGATGAATTCTGATGAATCCGGCTGAAGTGCTTTAAGGTATTACTGCCCTGCTGTCGTCTGCCACTCCTGCAGCAGCTGCCCGTGAGTTCAGAGTCAGCAAAAGGGCATGAGGACCAAGGTCCTGGCTGGTCCATCACACAGATGAGCCCATTAATTGAGGGTATCTTTGTGGCAAAATGGGATTACTCTGCTGGCCCACTGCCAGGCAGCAATGCCACCAGACAGGCAGCCACAAATGCCACAGACAGGCAGCAGCTGGGGTGTCAACATGGCCTGTTGTGGGTCAGTCATTCTTCCTTACCCTCCTTAATCTTTCTCTCCCTTTCTCTTACAATTCTCTCTCTCACCTTTCTATCTGTATTTCTTCACTGCAATGCAAGAGTTAGATCTCCATAGGAAATCCACCTCCAAGCTCCCACCAGTACCCTCCCAGACAATTAAGCTTTGTTCCCCCTCCCCCGCAATCTCTTTTTGTTTTGTTATTGTCAGCTGGTCTCTTGGATTAGGGTTTGCAGCTCTCTCTGGGCTCAGGAAAGCTTGGTAGCTTGGCAGGATTTCTTGCCAGATCAGTGATCCTAATGTGAGTGCCAGAATCCTGCAGTTTGCATAATGCTAATTTGCTTTTCAGCCCAAGTTGCCAACTCACATGCTGCTTAGCACATCAAGTAGCAGAAGGAGTGTGCGCTCTACTCCTAGCGAGGAGGAGGAGAGTAATTGGATAGATACCCACTACCTGAAATGGAAATTAATCTAACCAACCCTGGGTATAAACCTTAATGCACTGCTGAGCTTCTGGTAAAAGGTCATTAGACTGAAACTGTTCGGAGCCAATTAGTTCCTTATTCTCAAAGCTCTGATTTGGAGTTTTCACTGGCACAATAAGGTTACAAATGCTGCTGCAATTATGGCAATATTAATTCACTCAGACCTAGATCCTGTCACCCTTACTCATTGTAAGGGTAGTAGAACTGGACCTTAATGCCTGTGCCAATGAAATACTGGACATGTCAGGGTGGGGTGATACTGGGAGATAGCACCACACCTAAGGGATGTTGCCAGTCACTGGGCTGAATGCCAGCTACTTTCAGTTGACTGGGTGTGGGGCTATCTCACTGCATTACCACACACTCAAGTGTCTAACTGCAATACCAGTTCTTTCAAAGCAAAAGAAAGCCAGACCGCCTAGAAAAAAACACCTTAGCCATCACCTTTGTTTTCATTCTAAGCCACACACACACCGATGCTGATATGGCTGCAGCATGAGTCCTAAAAGGTGGGACCCTTCTGAACAAGTTGTCCAGGCTGTCTCTCCAATAAACTTGGGGAAGTGAGTAGCTCTGAAGAAAGATTGATCCTTCCTGCATGAGACACCACTCAGGCAGGGTGAGTTGGACTGCCTTCCAAAGGCACTAGAATCTCTCCCTCAGCTGAAGGGCAAGAGGCTCTGTACTGGATCCATTCAGTCAGCTGAAGTTTGTGGAGCTGTACCTCATGCTTAGTGACAGAACCTGAGCCTGCTTTGCATTCTGACTGATGGCTTGGTCCCAGACAGGGACTGTGGGTCACAACTCCTGCGCCAGTCAGCTGATGCAACACTCCCAGCCCCTTGGGACAGGCAGTGAGACGCTCCTCTTGTCAGCTCCTGAGCAGCAGTGAGTAACTTGGGAGCTGTGAGAAGCCACTTTGATTTTCTCTGTTTGGTCAGCAGGAAAGCACCCCTTGGGACAGGCAGTGAGACGCTCCTGAGCAGCAGTGAGTAACCTGGGCGCTGTGAGAAGCCACTTTGATTTTCTCTGTTTGGTCAGCAGGAAAGCACGAGTGCTGGTCCAACAGGCCGTGCAGACCTGCTCCTGGGAGCACAGCTCACCCACGGGTACTCGGTGAGCAGCTTGCTGCTGACATTGTCCCAACGCCCAGCAAGTGCCACGTGGGAAGGAAGGGCTTTGGAGGAGTGCTGAGCGCTCACTCTCTAATCTAGGAGGTGTGGAGATTGCAGGGGACTTGGGTGAGGAATTTACAATTAAGGCTATGAAAGAAACTGGCCGAGTAAGACACAAGCAAGAATTAATGGCCAAATAATATTGCTTAAATTTCTTGATCTTCTATGATTGGATTTTGTTGGTTTGGAAAGTGTAGAGGTGAAATTCTCCCGAATGTGTCTTTTTATTTTGTCCTGTGTGATGCCTTGCATTGTGTTCCTCTCCATTTTAATAAAGCTCCAAATATGTGTAAAAATGGGAACTGGAGTGATTTATTACCCCTCCATTGAAGGCTGTGTATTGAGAAACAGAAAAACATTGCTTGTTAAAACACTATCTCTACAGAAATGCCTTATCACTTGGGTTTAGAGGAGCACAGGAACATAAAATATAGTACCATCTGGCAGACTAATGAAAGAGAAGTATTCTTAGGACTTTTGAGGTTTGAGAAAAATGTCAAAATCCAGCTCTTTTCTACTGTGTTAGCGATGTGCACTTGCTGTCTCATGGGACAGGGCTGTTGACTCAAACTAAAGGTGCAAGTTGCTTCCACTGCTGAGGACATCACTAGAGGAACACTGTCATGGGGAAGCAAGCATCCTATCAAAGAAACCACTGCCATTTTTGTTTGTCTATGGAGTGTGGTAGATGCATATGAAAAATACATTAGATTTTCAGCATGATATAAACTTAAATAATTCCAGAAGCTGGGGCCCCAAAATTGCTGGCATTCAAGTAGCTGGCTTCATTGGGATGTCTGGATTTATTAGGCATCCTCAGGTAATGCAACAATGCATATGCTTAAGGGATTACATGATAGGGGAGTTAGATGACAAAAAAAAAAAAAGCCCTGCCCGGCAGCTGAGCTGGGTCGCAGAGATGAAAAGCCTTGCAGAAAGTGTTTTGAAGGGGGTAAATATAAGGTCACTGATAAACTTTTAGAAATCTCTGTGGTTAGTTCTGTTCCTAGTGAGTGTGAGGTTAAGAAGAAAAGAAACCCATTACGAACAGAAAATGATTTCTCAGGAATTACTCTCAAAACAAACAGTCACAGTAAAGCTGCATTTCCTTTCTTTAAGCATCCATACACTTCTGATCTTTAGAATCTCTGATTGTTCAGCTGAAGAGGGTGGTAATTGCCCACCCCAGTGATTCAGCATTCTGGGAATTTCCCAAAAGTGGCTTGAACTGAACTATGGTTTTTGCCAGCCTTTTCCAGCTTTGAAATTGTCCTTCTCCCTAAAATGGGCAAATGTCTTCGCTCTCCTAATTGAAAGATAGGAAGGACATTTGACTCATAGTAATGATAAACTGTGACTGTTTGTAAATATGATTTTATCAGACAGCTAACACTGCTACTTTTATTCCCTGTAGAAAATATTGCTTTTCTACCATATTTTACATATTTGTGGCAACTATGTAGGATACAGTACAGTACTAGGTTACAAGATATTGTATTGTGCAGCCAGGAAAAGGAATCGGTTTAGCAGAGACAGATATAAACACAGGAAAGAAAGTAGCTCAAGAGTGGAAATTAATGATAAGGAGAGGGCCATTGCAATCAAAAATGTCTGTGGATTAATTGTGATTGACTAAGTCCGTCAGGCAAAGCACTACAGTGTTGATCATTCTCTGTAAATACTTTCTTTCCTTCTTTCTTTGTAGTATCCCCAAGCTACCTACTACTCTAATAATTTAATGGTGATTCTTTTCCTTTTCTCTTTAGCTATTAAAATTTTCCCTCTTCCATGCTGTGAGTGTGTTAAAACTGAAGCTAGGCAGTGGAAGATAAAAGAGCCAGTAAAGCATTTTTCTTTTTTCCCTTTGATTTTCAGGCTTGCTCGGTCTCATGTGTATACATGTGCATCCATGTGTGTATGGCTGGCCTCTGGTACAAATTAAAGTAGCCACACAGAAGGACAAAAAGGCACTTAGCCAGGGTGAAGGATCTGTCTCCATTGTTTCCTCGGAGTGTTGGATTCAACATCCTTTGACTCATAATATGTAATTAAAAAAAAAAAAATCCTAGCAACTCGAAATTAAAACTATTGTTGCTAGAAACTGAGTGCACAAGCAACAAGAGAATGGGTGTCTAATCTGTTATGATTACTTTTCAGGATATTATAAACTTTGGTCCTTCTGAACCCAACAGGAAAATTCCCAGTGACATCAGTGATGTACTAATGGGTTCATAGCCCTTCCTCAGGGTAGGTTCCCGTACCAGGTGGAAGGTGTGAAAAAGCAGAGAAATCCTGTTGGAATGAAAAAGAAATTGCTGTTCAAAGATTATCATCAGCGTGAGCAATCTCAGTAAAGTTCTAATGAGTGTTGTTAACAAACTGAGTTTTATTAAGTTTCCTGTAAAACAATGTGCTTTGAGGGGAGAAAGGGAGGGAGGGGGGAAGCAGGGGGGTGATTGTCATTCCAGTGAATCAGCTCCTGTGGGAATTTCCAAAAGGTGCGGTTAGCCCAGAAGACTGTGGTGTTTGCCACATTTTTCCTTCCTAAGGCTAATCTTTGTAATTCAAATTAATTTGCAACCATTTAGTTTTGAATCTAGAGTTAATGTGCTTGATTAAGCCCTATTATTAATAAATTTACCAAAGGCACAGACAATGGCAACAACTATAGAAAAATACTAGGTATTAAGTAGAATAAATTTATTACAAATTCTGAGACTTGTCAGATAGTTCAACACTCCAAATTTATCCAGCAAGGAAATGAGACTATCCAGATTATGAGTAGAAGGTGAAGACAGTTTATCTGCAATGTGAGGGTGTCAGCAGGCAGCAGGGAGAACACAGAAAAGTGACTGACCAGTTGAGTTCTCACAGTGAGCACCACCCAGGAAAAGGAAATGTAAGGAACTAGTTGGATGGAAGACATGCAAAGAGCGAACCCAAACACCCAGAGATGGCAGTGACTTGTCCACCTCCCAAGCAGAAAAAAAAATTGTATAGAAAATGTCAGTATTATTCTTTCTACTGAGAAGGCCTAACTTTTAAGAAAGAAATTATCTTCAGAATTGTAGCAAGAGCAATGTTTTAACTATTACCCATATATATTTGACAAAGAAACTACTATTGTTTGTGTCCAAGAAAGAAACATGGCCAATTCTTCCCAGCTGTATTATTGTATTATAATAATTTTCCATTACAGAGGTGACTGTTGCTCCAAGCCAGAGTATGTAAATTAGCCAAGATTTGGCTCTCCAGGCTTTGCCATGCACAATGCTAAGCACCTCATGCATGATGCTGACGTCTCTCCATACTTACAGACTTCCCTGGGAGTTGAAGGCACTCAGTACTGCCTGGGAGGAAGAGATCTGTGTGTGGCAGAAAATGTTAGCATATTAGGAAAGTAAATGGAGATGATTTAATGATGAGACTACTGCTTCTCATGCTGACCATCACTGTTTCATTGTTTCCTTGTGCTCCCCATCAGCCAGCATCTATCTTGTGCCCCATGGTGAGAGCAGCCTGGAAGCTCTCTGGGGCAAGCCCTGCCCCTCGGAGGGATGGTTGTGTGGAGCAATATCCAGGTGCCCCAATCCCAGCAACCACGAGCTCCTGCAGTCACGCAATGGCTGCTTCCTTCCTTCATGTGATTGCTCAGCCTGTTTACATCTGTCAAGCCTTTTATAAAAGCTGCGCTGCTAGCAAGGGCTGTTGGCTTTTTTTTTTTTTTAATTGTTTTGAAGGCTCTTTTTAGTTAAAAAGTGTTTGCCACCACAGTTAAGACATGGACTGGATTAAAGTTCAAAACCAGCTCACGTCAGCAAGTGGATGGAAATTATTACCATCTGACAGCTGGTGGCCTGGAAGGAAAATGTAAAAGTCACTGCATGAAGGATTGGTTCAGGGCAGTGCCACAAGAAGTGACATGGCTTTGTTTTATATCCTAGGAGTACAGCTCTCTGTTCTGCCTGAGTTCTGCTCAAAGGAGTGGTCATAGAGACTAGTGAAACTTGCTACACCTGACTGCAAGTGCCAGGTCCTACTACCTATTAAACTTGTGCAGGAGAAGCTGTGGTTTGTGCCACCATTGATATTTAGTGAAACTGTAGTGTGGCAGGCCTGGTCCAGGTCATCAGGTTCAACACCATATTCACCAGGTTCTTTGCTGCCTTTCAGCCCCCTAAGTCTTTCTCCCAGCTCATCTCATCAACTCCAACCAGAAAAAAATGAATTAATGAGGATAAGAATCTTCTGTTTTCACCTCTGACTGCTTTAATAATGGCCCAGGTATATATTATTTGATATAAGAATATCCTAACTGCTGGAATGTCTCATACAAACCACCGTGCATTTAAATACCTGTTAGACTCTATTACAAAGTGTGTAGTACAAAGACAGACCAGGCAAAGGCTGCAGAATTAACTGATCCAGAATAAATGAGAGCAAAAGGAATGGCACAGGGATTGCAGACTGCACATTGCAGATGCATGTCTTCTGGTTCCAGCAATGCCAGCTAAAGAAATTACTGCCCTGAACATCTGAGGTGCCAGTGGACCTTGCTACCATCCAGAGGGACTGCAGTAGGCTGGAGAAATGGGCTGATGGGAACCTTGTGAAATTCAACAAGAGGAAGTGTGAAGTCCTACACCTGGGAAGGAATAATTCACATTATTATAATGGGCCACATGGCAATGGGAGCTGACCAGCTGGAAAACAGCTCTGCAGAGCAAGACCTGGAGGTCCTGGTGGACACCAAGTTGACATGAGCCAGCAACCTCACATTACAGAAAAGGCAGTAAACTCTGTCCTGGGCTGCCATAGGAGAAATGTTTCTAGCAGATCAAGGGAGGTGATCCTCCCCCTCCATTCAGCACTGCTGGGGCTGTAGCCAGAGTACCGTCTCCAGTTCTGGCATCCTCAGCACAAGAGAGAGAAGGATGCACTGGAGAGAGACCAGCAAAGAGCCACGATGGTGATTAGGGGAGCAAGAAATGGCAGAGGCACAAACAGCACAAATTTGCTGCTGCTAAAACCTTCTCTAAGCAAAAGTGGGGACTAGAGCAACACTTCTGCAAGGAAAACCTAAGAGAATTATGACTTCAGGCTGGAGGAGACTCGGGTGGATCTTCTCAATGTATATAAACACCTGCAGCAAGTGTGTAAAGAGGACAGAGCCAGGCTCACTCCACTGACAGGACACCCACAACAGGCACAAACTGAAACACAGCAGGTTCTGTCTGAACATGAGGAATCACCCTTTTATTGTTAGGGTAACCCACTGGCCTGAGGGGTCTGGAGG